AGGAATATCTCGAAACAGTCGATATTCCGGATGAGTTGACGGAGCTACGACAGCGGTTCATGCATCGTCTGCGTGTCTTCGCAGTAGCCGACAAGTATCAAGTAGAAGGCCTAACAGCTCTAGCCTATCGCCAACTCAAGCAGCTCGTGGATCTCTTTACTGAGCCAAGACGGACCTACGGTGACGAAGATGAGACGACAGCACCGGAGTTCTTCCGGTTCATGGTGAGGCAAGTGTATCATGATAGCGAGCATTATTTCCCAGCTCTGCGGGACGACCTACACCAAACCGACCAGACCGCCGACGGCACTTCGCAGATGAACCCGTCTGAGACTGAGCAAACCAACTCCACGTCTACTGAGAATGCTCCTGTACGCGCTACAGCTCAGCGGCACACCTCCGCGCGGGAAACAACATTCAACCCACCGAACCCACATTCACCCGAAGGTAGAAGTTCAAACCACCCTCTCGATCGCGTCCAAGATCTGCTTGTCGAAGGAGCCATGAATGCCTGGGTCAACGCGCATCCGGACTTCAATCGTCAGCATCTTGTGCCTCTTGCGCAAATGTTCCCGGATTTCGGCACGGATCTCATTGTTGCAGCGCTGAAGTCGGCGCGCATAGAAGGCATGCCTGAGTATCTATACGAAGACGAGGATTACGCTTATGACAGTGATAATGACTGGCTGAGGGCCCACCACATCTTGTGAGATCTAGCTAGCTTGCAACGGAGATGGAGACAGGTATGTAGGCGCGTAGCGCAATGACGCAAAACATGTACTGTTGAAATGTATACGAATTCGCGATACTGTTCTCGTGATGCGACACATTTTTGTCAGATTTTGTGCATCTAACGCGCTGCGATGATAGTAGCGCGCGTGTCGAAAGTGATGGAGTGAAAGTGAAGTTGGTCGAACCTTCTCGATGACGAGCTGGTCCGAACGCGACATGCCACTTGAGCCCCGCAGTGCTGCGGACAAGGTGCAGCCTCGAAGCACAACACAAACACTCGCCGTAGCACACGACTCAGACCTCGGCCACCATGGTAATCAACTACAGCAAGTGGGTGAGTCATGCGCCTCTACCATTGTAATAGAGGCAGCTTCTGACAATTACTAGGACGCTCTCGAGCTCTCGGACGACAGCGACATCGAAGTGCACCCCAACGTCGACAAGAAATCCTTCATTCGCGCCAAACAAGCCCAGATCCACCAGGAGCGCGACCACCGCCGCCACCAAATAAAGACGCTCAAGTACGAGCGCATCATCAACGATGGCCTCACCGAACGCGTCGACCGCCTGCTCACAGCGCTGAAGTCGCACAAGGACAAACAGGCAGAGGGAAATGGCCAGAACGATGACCAGCTCGTCTTCCAGGCGATGATGGAGAGCATGATGGACATGAAGATTGACAAAGACGGGGGTTCAGACAGGCCGCCACCACCACCAGAGGGCGTACACGAGCACATCAAGGACAAGCCCACATACCCGCAGATGATGGCGAGCTTAGTAGACGCAGTGAAGAAGGACATTGACGAGCAGAAGAGTGAAGAGCCGCGATACACACTATTCATCCAGGGTCTAGAAAAGGAGAAGGCGCGCATACAAGATCTCCAGCAACAACTCCTGGCCAAGCTCGACGAGCTAGAAAAGGAAGACAAGAAGCACATCACGAGCGACGACATCCACGAAGGCTTCAGCTACTCCAACGTCAAGAAAGCCGAAGAAGAGAAGAAGAAAGCCGCCTCATCCTCTTCCTCATCGAAGAAAGAGCCCGCCGTCGAACTCCTCAACAACCCCTCCCGCCCCTCCGCCACCCGAACAGACACAGGCCAGTCCTCCGGCGCAGACGGCGACATAGAAGAAGGCAGCGTCGTCGAGCCCACTGGCGCCGACTCCGACAACGAAGACGACATCACCGCCTCACCCCTCGCACAGCAATTCGCTAAAATAAAAGCCGGAGACTGGTACGCCTGCCTCCAATTCCTCATGGCACACCCCGAGATTCTCGCAGAGAAAGAAACCGACGGCCTCCTCGTCGAAGCCTTCAACTCTGAACTCGACGGCAAGCCCAAGCACGCACGGCAATGCGTGCACCAAGGCCTTCTATTACAATACTGTCGCCAACTAGGTGGGCGACAAGGCGTAGAGCTCTTCTTCAAACGCATACAAATAAAAGACCACCAAGCCGGCAAAATGTTCAACGACGACGTCGATTCCACATACCACCGCATCAAGACACGCGCAGCCGAAATCCTAAAAGAACGCGCCGAGAACCCGCAATCCGAAGGCGCAGGCGTCGAGCAAATCCAACTCCACGCCGTAGACCCAGGCACCCAAATCAACATCTCGGTGCCCCCCAAAGAATCCAGCGCCACCGACCCCGCAGAGAAAGAAGCAGAAGAGCAAGCGAGACAGATATTTGAAACGTTCCCGCCGGGCCTGCAGCGTGCGCTGGAGAGCGGGAAGCTGGATGAGGTGAACAAGGTGCTGGCGAAGATGAGTGTGGATGAGGCGGAGGAGGTGGTAGAGAAATTGGGTCAAGGGGGCATGTTGAGTCTGGAGGAGGGCGTGATTGATGCGACGACAGAGGAGGGACAGAGAGTTATGGGCGAGATTGAGAAGAATAGGAAGATGCCGGGTCAGGGACAGGCGCAGGAGCAGGAGCAGGGGACTAGTAGGATTGAGGAGGTGGACTAGGGAGGGGATGGGTGAGGGTGTGATGGGGATGGTATTATGAATTATGGGAATGGAAATGGTCTGGCATGGTATGGGATGACGGGTCCTGTAATTGTACATTATGATTGATGATGGTATCTGAGAATGACTGATTCTGAGCAAGAATCCTAGTTGTGTCGCCTACTCGATCCTATAGCTTTGCCTTGGATCCCGTCCACCATCTCCCACGTTAAACCTGCAAAATTCCCACTTCGCCTATGCTGAGACCCCGTCAATATCGTACATCGACCCTTAAACCCTAGACGCCCTGTGCAGACTAAATTGCAAGCCATGCGGTAATAAATGCCACTCTCGCGCTACAACATATTCATTTTAAAACCATCATTCCATCCATTGCCCGCTCTAGCAATTTCCTTAGAAAATATGACACGAATCCTGGCTATCCCCAGTGCCCTCAAATCAGCTCAGCAAAGTTGTCGTCGATGCCAGCCATATCCCGGTCTCCAGCAAACGCCGCAAAGTCATCCTCACCAGCATTCCTGCTCATTTTCCTCTTCTTGTGCGCATTCTCATACGCATGATGTTGTCCGTACACACCACCTTCAGCAGCACCCAGTGGCGCATGTTGCAGGCTCTTGAGGAGGTCTGCAGCTATGTGCTGGTTTGGCTCGCCGATGGCGGTCGCATATTCGGGCTGTGTAGTGTGCTGCGCGGGCGCAGGAGCGGTCTCTGGTACGACGGGGTGGGCGGCGGGTTGCGGCATTTCGTCGTCGCGGATGGTGGGCACAGGGTCGTTCTGGGGCGCGGGTGCGAGGTGTGGTGAGCCGACGGGTGTGAAAGATTCCATGGGTGGGGGCGTGAGTTCCTCGACTTCTGGTCTTTCTTGCGCGCCTAAGAAGGTCGCTGCGACAGGGGAGGTTGTAGCGACGGGGAGGGGTGCGGTAGAGATTCTGTTCTGCTCTGCTGCTGACAGGCCTTTGAGGATGGCTTCCTCGACTGCGCGCTTTCGGCTTTCTATAGCGTCTTTGCGCGTCTTGAGGTCTGCTTCCTGCGCCTCTTCGTCGATGAGCTTCTTCCTGTTCGCCTCGAGGAGGTGCTCTAGACCGGTGAGGAGAGCCTTGCGCGCCTTGATGCTCTCGGCGACAGCGCCTTCGGCCAGCGCAAGCTTCTTGCAAAGTGCAGCGAGTCCAGCCGCGTGCATTGGCGGGGATGGGATCGCGGCATTCGGGTTGGTGAGCTTCTCGTAGTCTTGGTTGGCGGTGGTGACGGCGGGTTTCGTGGCAGCATCGGCCTTCTGGAGGGCGGTCGCGAGAGGCGCGACGGGTGTGAGCTCAGGCGGGACCGACGAGCTCGAGAAGAGCGATCCACCCAAAGCAGGTTTGCGCGTAGATTTGGAGCGGTCCACCTCGTCTATCGACCTCTCCACCGCCTGCTGCACAGCCAAGTTGAAGATGCTGCGCTGCCTCCAAACCTCGACGACCCTTCGAATCTTGTTTTGTATCTCGTGGGGGGAGCCCTTGTAGGCTACTGTCGTCGCTTCGGCGAGAATGGGTTCGTATGCGCGCAGGAACTCCTCCTTCTTGCGCATCTTGGAGGTTTGTGTGATTTCGTTGGCGAGATAGATGAGCACCAGTTTCTTATTCGGAGGCGACTCCTTCATGCGCTGTAGCCATACATGAGCGATGCGCTCGGCATGTCGTCTGTACACGTGACGTTAGTATATGGTTCCAAAGTGCATGACAAAACTCGCAATCCATGGATTCGACGCGTGGTGCATGCAGCAAACTGGAGTCTTGGCAGAGATGAGATGCTTTACCTGTGGAAGAGGATCCATTGGCCGACAGTGGAGATGGCCTCTTGAGTCTCATTGAGCGATGAGAGCTTGGCCTTGAGGCTATCCTCGGTGAAAGCCATGATGGCGCTGGAGGTCTTCACGAATATATGCGACAGCTACTGAAGAATGATGCGCACGCGAGCAGAAGACAATGACCCAGCGGAAATGCGCGTGATGGTAACAGATGGAATGCAACCTTCAGCGTGCGATATGCGCTCTGCAAGTGTTCGCGACTACAGTGTCCAGATGATGACGTGTGTTGGGGATGGAATGGATGGAGAAGTTCAAGGTGAGGGAGCACTTGAGAGCTAGAGGCGCTAGGTGGTATGCGGCTAAACGTGGCTCCGCCGCGCCAAGCAGCTCCCTGGCTGGCCGTCACCGACGGTAACTATCCAAGACGCAACAACAGGACACTTGTACGCAAACTGCTGTCGCCAAACTTATCTCCGCTCCTCCCACTACATCCCCCACATCCTCCACATCCACAATGGCAGACCGATTCCCCTCATTAGACGAGATTGACGCCGGTGAGCTCAGCTATGGTCCCCGAAGCACCTCCGCACCGCATACTAAACCAAGCAGGCCAGACCGAAGCGCGCGGCGATGCGGCAGACTTTGACATTAGCGGCGACAACGATGCCAGCAACTTCCTCGACCGTGAACGCGCGCTTCTTGGCGACGATGCCGACCAGTTTGCTTCGGAAAACGACAGGGCAGCGACGGTCGAGGACGGCGAGGATGACTTGCTTGGGGGAGACTTCAGCCAGGCCAACGTCGGCGGCCAGGAGATGAGCGGCTTCGAGAGCTCCTTCCCCGCCATTGACACGACCAACGACGTAAGCACGCCTGCTTCCTTAGCCAAGCCATGGTTGCGATCTGGCATGTTCAAAAGTGACGCGCCAGTCGAAACATGAATTGAGCATGGAATAAACAACTTCACGACGGTATACTGACTCCAGCAGCACATGGCTCCCGGCGGAACCATCACAGGCTCAGGCCTGCCCTTCCTCCCCGGCCAACCAGCCCCATCCTTCACCCCACAGCGCTCAGACTCCCCAGAGCCCGACGTCATCCGCGAATGGCGCGAGCGCCGCGACCTCCAGATTCAACACCGCGACGAGGTCTCCCACGACCGCAAACAGAAAACCATCCAGGAGGCGCAGCAAAACATCGACGACTTCTACGAGAACTACAACAACAAGAAGGACAAGGAGATCGCCAAGACACGGAAGGAGGCTGAGGAGTTCCTTGCAAACCGCGATGACACCACTGCGGGCGGTACGAGCTGGGAGCGCATCGCCAAGTTGGTCGATCTGAGCGGAAAGGGCACCAAGGGCGGCGCGTCAGGCAGCGAGAAGGCCCGCTTCAGGGAACTGCTGCTCAGTCTGAAGAAGGACGAGAAGGCACCGGGTGCGACTGGATACTAGACGGAACGACGACATGGGTAGATGGCTATCTTTTTGGAGCTCAGGGCAATGGTTTGGCATACGAATGAGCGTGTCTACGGCCATAAAACTTGGAGTTTACGGATTAGGTTGCAGGGTACTTCATGCAGCTGTGTTAATACTTACTCTCTGATTGCCTACCATTGCTTGTGGTTTTCGATTTTCAGTCATCAGCACGAGGATCATCGAGCAAGCGCTTTATATTTGCTAATGTGGTATATAGGCATTGAGATGTTGAGCCTGGACATCTAGCATCTAGCAGTATCGACCATGGACATGATCATGAACTCCCCACTAGAAGTTGAGCTAACTGCTGCTTTCAAGGGCCATATGACCCCCAATGTCATGATCCAGTACGGACACCCAAACAATCCCAAATACCGCTTCCGCACTCACAAAGATGTTCTCTTCAACTGCTCAGCGACCTTCAAGAGAAAGTTCAACTCCAGGGAACTAGTAAGTCAACTTGACCATCACTTCCTGTTTCCGTCCATGTAAGATCCTTGCTTTCTAACCTGTCAAGGACATTGGATCTACCATCACTATTTCTCATGAAAACGTCGAAGCCATAGAAGATGTGCTACGCTACTTCTACCTCAAGACCTACGATCCGGTTCTTCTCCCTTCGGCTCCGATGTCTAGCATGCAACAGCGCAGGAGGTTCGCCGCTCGTCACGCTGCCGTTTACGATCTGGCACGTCAGAAGGTGTGCGGTGTCAGTGGCCTGGCTGAGCTCGTTCATGGGCAGTTCCAGCAAGGCGCTGATGACGCTCTAAAATGGTTGGATCAGCCAGGCAACAATGCGGCAAAGAACGCTGTGAGACTGCTCCGCATGTATGTCAATCTGATCTACGAGAACGACGACGATACTTGGGAGACGTTTGAGGGTCAAGATATACCCGACATGATCAAGTTTTGGCCTCTAAGAGGTTTGGTCTGCGAAACTGCAGCTAGGATCTGGTTGAGAGCGCAGCGATGGAATGCAACGCCGGCTGCTGGTCAGAATGGAGTCCAGGCACAAGGCGAAGAGGAGGTTGAGATTAATCATGGCGACACAGGTGAGGACGTTGTGAAGAAAGAGCTCGCGAAGTTGTGCTGGAAGTATGCGCATTTCGCACAGGACTTTGCGAGGTGGATGTTGATCAAGGGAGAGGTAAGTATCGCATTGGGCCACAATGTCATGGGAAGGACTAGGTAGATGGTAGAGGTATGCGGACATGCGCTTCCAGAGTATCTAGGTAGAGTAGAGTAGCCACAGCACCACCTAGGCACTCGACGCAACAACAACCATCTGATACAAATCCAAACAAGCAAACAAACCCGTGACTTTCGCGGGATTCCCATCCCCACGGTCCAGCCAAAGCCAAGCCCTTGACCAGCCCATCGCAATCTAACCACGGCGCCATCACCAAACCCTCCCCAACCCCGCGGGCCGCATCGCAACAGTCCCGCAGCACCAGCAATCTAAACGTCGTTCGACAATGCCCATGTAAAGTGTGCATCGTGACACCGTGTCGACCGCCAACCCGGCTTTCCTCTATATAACGACTATATTAATTTCTCCGAAGATGCAGCATGGGACCTTCCCTGGTACGGCACTTGGGTAAACGAACATCCGCAGATGCCCAGGTGTAATATCGAACCTGAGACAACCACCAAGAAACATCTAGCTGGTGTCCACCAATTGCGTGAATCGCAAGCGTAGGTTGATTATTGAACATGTTCTGTGCATCATGTTTCACAAAAAAAAAGGTCGAGACACTTTTTAACTTTTCCAACGCGGACGAACCCGTGCCCTACCACGGCACAGTACCAATGCAAGAACAAGACTGTTCTCCCTCACGAACAACATATGATGGCATTCCAATAGAAGAAATGACGTCTGACAAGAGAATCCACCATCAACTCATTTCGCTTACCTCCTCGAAGTTCCCTCAACGGGCCCAACGGCTGCTTCCAGCCTGATCCAGCCACGCCTCACAGCCTCATAGGGGAAACAGTGGAGCCGCCCAAGGCCTCGCTAGCGCGCCTTGATTAATCTACGCACCCTCCTTTCATGATCGCCCTCCAGCATGTGGCCATCGCCATGGCAAGCCAGTGCAAGTTTCAAACAATCATCTCGATGCTTGGTGCCTTGGATCGAATCCCATGGTGACGCAACTGCGCTCCTGTGTCGTGGAGTAATTACCACCCGGGAACTACTATAAGACATGCAGCTACCTCTGACAATCTATTATTTTCGGCATCTAGGTCACTCGGTACCGGTCGTCTGTCTAACTCCATCGTCGTCTATTCACTCGTTTTTTTGTGTTGCACAAACTTATAAGTCATTCTCTTCTTTCTCTCCATCTTCGGATTATCAGCACGCTCGATACGCAGGACCGTATCTTCACAGCAGCAACATCTCCAATCTACCTTTCTTTGATACCCCGAATTTATCGAATCGACTCTACCATCTTCTTCAAAATGAAGTACATCACCTCCGCCCTCGCCTTCGCTACTGCCGTCGCAGCCCACGGCTACGTCAACAATGCCACCATTGGCGGCAAAGAATACATCTTCTACCAACCATACCAAGACCCTTACATGACGGACGTGAAGCGCATCTCACGACCGATCCAAGGCAACGGCCCCGTTGAGGACGTAGCCATCTCCGATATCCAATGCGGCGGCTACGCAGCCGGCGGTATCAACGGCTCCAAGCCCGCTGCTCTACACGCCGAAGCCGCCGCGGGTTCAGACGTCGAGCTTTACTGGACGCTCTGGCCTGAGAGCCACATGGGTCCTACCATCACATACATGGCCAAGTGCCCCGATGCCGGATGCAACGACTGGATGCCTGAGTCAGCGTAAGTCACCCACCTGACCTATTATCCACCACCATGATATTAACACCCCCACCAGTGCAGTCTGGTTCAAAGTCCAAGAAGACGGCCGCCAAGGCACCTCTGACGTCTGGGGCTCCGACGCCCTCCAAGTCCCCGGCGGCTCCGTCACATACACTATCCCCAAGTGCATCGCACCAGGCTACTACCTCGTGCGCCATGAAATCGTTGCTCTGCACGCCGCGTACCAGTACCCTGGTGCGCAGTTCTATCCTGGGTGCCATCAACTCAAGGTTACCGGAGGTGGATCAACGAAGCCGAGTGGCCTTGTTGGTTTCCCCGGTGCGTACAAGGGTAGCGATGCCGGTATCACTTATGATGCCTACAAGGCGGCTACTTACACCGTTCCTGGCCCCAAGAAGTTTACTTGTTAGATGGGGTGAAAGTGGCTGGGGACTCTGAGATAGGAACCCGGGAATGGGAACCCTCAAGTACAGTACCCTGAGACGGGTAACAAAACGCTTCTTTGTATATATTTGCAGTCGTATATAGCTGTCGTCATGAATAGATCTCTGCATCACCCTTGAACATACTTGTGTCTGTTTGTTCTGCATCGTGTCGTGTCGCGTAGTTGGTTCTTGTCGTAACGCTGTTTGCGAAATCATTACTTCGTTCGAAAAGATCCAATGTTATCGACACTTGCGCAGACGCTTTATCAATCGCAGGGGATAGCTGATCGTTGCAGAATTGTGTGCATGCGTGACCTTGGCTGTTGCACTGCGGTCCCTACAATGGCCGTGTGCTTGCTTGATGCGCTGGTAGATGCAGCGTCGCAAAGCGCATATTATCGCATCGAATGTGTCGAATTTCAAGGGTGCAATGAAATTAGCGTCTGTATTGCAGTCATGAATATCCTGGTGTAAGATGCAGTCACGCCGCTGCTGAGTAACTATTGCGTTTGATGGCCGCGAGTTAGGTACTTCTCCTAGCCCTTCTGAGTCCATAGCATGCCGTCGAAAATGCTGACGAGCGTACTAGGCAGGTCTTCGACATCCGTTGTGTCCCTACTGCGGTGTCTCTATGGCTACCTTCGGATTTCGTTGCAAACATCCTATCTCGACATCTGTGCCGCGGACGTCGAATAACTCTTTCTTTTTCCTGACGGCGACAACTTCCCTGATTCCGTCTCGTTCACTCCGCGGAGGCAGGGCACTTCCTTTTATCCTGGTTGTGGACTCAGAAATCTGGTCAGATGAACAATCATCTCGGGCCTTCTCTGGTGCTTTTGCGCGTGGAGGGGAAGCGTTCTCACTTCCCCGTCAGCCGTATATCCGCCACCCTTACGTGTCGGAGCCTGATTCGCACTAATGGGTCTGCGTCTTTCATCTGATTGTCAGGCACCTCGGTTGTGCATATTTATCAGATGCGTGTACCAGAGTGAGTGCGATCACGCTTACCACGGTACTGACGGGTGCAAAGCCTATCTGGGCTACCAGTACCCGATGCTCTTGGATTGGCTGCTTCGTTTTGGTTCTGCGTTGTCGACGTCGGCCTTACCTCGTACTATGAATTCGAGGGTGTGAGCAGGAGCGGTTGTAGATGACTGAAAGCGGTAGCGCCCTGTACGATCGGTGAGGTTTGATCAGCGCTGTGTGCTGTCGCATTTGCGAAGACGCATCAAGGTCAGCGAAAACCTGAAGGTCGCATCTTGGTGTTGAACGTGGCTAGTGACTCTAGAAGGATATGGGGAAGAGCGCCACTTTCCGGTCAGTCTAGAAGGATGTATTCAGCTACTATATCGAAAATGGTACACCGTCTGGAGGTGGAAGCAGCCCAGCATGGGCTTGCGCCAGTCTAAGTGCCAGGCTGATCGCCGGCCCTAACGGACGGGTCCGCACATGGCTTCGGCACTATTTTGAAACCGCCGAAAGGAAGAGGTACCTTCTGGAAAAGATCAGAGATGTCAGGTTCGCTTGGAGAAACGAGACGAGTCAGCAATTGCCCGGACAAAAGGCGCATGGCGTAGATGAAGCAGGAACTTCTGACGTCCTTGCTGCGTAGTGTCGGCGAGGCTTTGAAAAGACAATTGCTAATGCGATTGCGGTTGGAATCGCGGTCAAGGTGATGTGAAGAGCAAGCGGTAGTCCAAGGGCTTGCGCTGCAGCTAGCAATGCGATGATGCCCACAGTGGGCCCTAGACGCCGGTTCTGCTCCTTCCCCGACTCACATCTGCGCCGTCCAAGCTAACCTTCGAGTGCTAACACGCCCGACAGCCCGAAACAGAATGACGATGCACCCATGTCGTCTGTGATGATCGATGAGGCAGCTGCAAGCGATATCGGTATATTTCATCGCAGAGCCTTGGAGCCTGAGGATCTTCATCTTACGACGCATCGTCTTCCGTCGTAGCCGTGAACGCTTGACAAACGTTAAAGACCAGGGTTTCTGGTAATTTGTCCAACGGCTCTGCTTCGTGCTCAACTCCGTGCCAGGCGGACTTAGTCGAACAGGAAGACCCTGGAATTAGTCGATGGGTGAATAGCCGCGAGCTTCCACCGCTCTTTCGGATCTTGCCAACACTCCTAGATGTCTAGCGAGTATTCCATATCCTGGCCTTGGTACCATCATCATGATCACCTGGCCATGTGCATACTTAGGCGACGCTCCTGATCCATGCTTCGTCGTGGCTGGTTGCAGAAAGACGATCCGTGCTGCTGTTTAAATCGGGCCCTTGAAGATATGTGGCGCGCACCAAGGCGCGCGACTAAGGCACAGTTTGAGAGGTGCAAGAGGCCCAGCGCAATGGTAATGAAAAGCAAATCTCCGTGGGCGATCTGGTCAGGTTCGTGTTACATGTGCATTGGTTGTTGCATGTGCGCCGTCGCAGGCATGTCTACGGGTGTCGCTTATGCTACTCGTCTAGGCAAGATGACACAGCGCGGGACTGATTTCTGATAAGCTGTCGACGAGACTCTCGTTCTCAAAGTATATTGTCGAGTATACGAATCCCGAGTAAATCATGGCCGACGTTTCAGTTGAGGGTCAGGGATCAAGGTTTCGGATGAAAGCTCCCGCCGCGGTTCATGGAGCGACTCCGAAGTCTGCGTTCCGTGAGAGCCCAGCCAGAAGCTTACAAAATTCCCTGATATCATGCTCGTCAGATCTGTCCCTCGGCGAAGGTACGTCGTATCAAAATAGCCGCGCGGACCAATAGAGATCTTCCTCCTCACCGCCTGGACGAAGTTTTCTTACGAACAGTCAGGGGGTACCGGTTACAGGTAGACCGTAGTAACACCCGAGTCGTACCGCTCGTGAGCTCACGCAAGGCAAGCCGCACTTCCATCTGCGTGCGTCATAGCTCCAAAGAATGTGT